CTTAATATTAAATACAAACAGAAATTTGTCCAATATGTAAAAAATTTAACCTTGTACTCAGCAGAACAATAACTGCCTCTCAAACTTTTGTAATATTTACAAATAACTTTTAATGCAAACACCTTACAAATCTATTAGTCCATACAACATGCAGCAAACATATGCTGTTCATTCTAGTTCTATCAAGCTAATGGAAGCTTCTAATTGTTTTTTTTTTTTTTTTTTTTTTTTTTTTTCCTTTAAGAAATTTACCCAAAGTTCTTTGTCCTATACTTTTCTGAACTTTCTAATGTTTATGGCATCATATGAAAGACGTTTGGGTGCACTACCTGAAAATAGTGTTTAAACTCGGATTTCTTTGAGAAATAAACAGTATGTGGGCATATAAGCTGGAATCAACCAGCCATTTGACATTTATTAGAAAATGCTGATAATATATAAAACTTCATTTCACACACAAAAAACAATTACTCACGCTTTCTCCAAGGTTGCATGTTTTCTTCAGGGTTCTAATAAAAAAAACTGTTACACGTGAAATTATGGAACATAAGAACAAATGCACAAAGGTGAACTTTAGATTAATTATATATGTTTGAAAGAACAGAAGCTCAGTGCGAGTCATTACATAATGAGGACAACTATGCAAAAGGAACTGCAATACAGCAAAACATCCACTTAATACAGAGTTGTTAAATGCACAAAAGAGGCTTTTTTTGAGATGCATGTTAAAGTATTTGCTGCAGCATCAGTTTTATCTGACCTTCTGATCAGATTTAAAAAAAAAAAAAAAGTATATGACCTTATGTTTACATTCACTGAAAAATTTTGCAGCCATTTCCAATCAGCACATACATAAAACACACCACTGATCCAACTGAAGGCAAACTACTGCACAATTACAGATGGTCATTCCTTGCTATTCAACATTCTGAATCAGGTCTTCTGCAATAACAATATATTAAAATCATGGCTACAGTTGAAAATAAATGGCTATTCTGTACCTTTGTGTGGACAAAATTTACCTTTGTCATAATACACAGCATAACTGTGTTCTACTACATTACATATATTCTTAAACATCATTTTGGTGCTAAACTACTTTTAGTTAATTGTTCAGTCAAATTTGAATTAAGCATATACTTTTAAACGCATCACCTATGTCCATATAATATTCCTATCATTAGTTTTTTAGACCCTATGTTACTTTCTTTGTTTTTTCTTTCTTCTTTGTATATCACAGCTTGAAAAACACTGCTTCTAAAGAAATTACAAATTCAGCCTATACTTGGAACTGCTGCAATTTGTTAGAGATCAAACATGAATTAAACGCTGCAGTTGTATAATTTCGTAGTTGAGCTCTATAAGCATTGCATGATAAGAATTTTTAGGTTATAAGATCATGAACAAAATTTCAGGCACAAATCATATGAAACAGCACTAACTGAGAATTATTCCATCAACCAGAATGAAACCATAAATAAGAGGCATAAATTCACATAGTTTCCATTAACTGTTTTTATGAAGCAAAAAGAAATCTCATACTTATTCCTTTGGTAATTTATTATTGAAATAAAGATAAAACAGAAATTTATTAAAACTTTATAAATGACAAACATCCTGACAAAAGGTGTAAAAAATTCAAAACCAGTGTTACACAGCAGAAATAGATCTCATGGATTTGAAAAAAAAAAAAAAAAAAAAAAAAAAAAATGCATAATAAATATCCTTTTATTAAGTCACATGTAGCATCAAAATCTAAAAAATGAATGAGTCTATATAAATTTTTACAATTTAGTGTAGCTTTTTTTTTTAAATTCATTTATTTAAAAAAACAAGTGTTACCAGGAATTGCCTTGGAAACATTAACTGAGAATTACTTCCTTATTTTTAGTTTTGCATATTGTTGTAATTTTAATGGCCAGCACTGTCCATAAACTGCATACAAAAAAGAGGCAAATACAATGTTATAAAATTACATTGATATTAAAAATTAAAGGATAATTTTAAAAGAGTATGAAGACCAACTAAATACTAAGACTTCAGGCCAAAAGTGGTGATTAGTCAATATATTCCAGGCATATAAACACAATCATATATCTCAAAAGTCAAGTCTATGAAAGGAGACATTTTTCTGAGCAAGTTTACCTCACAACATTTTGTCTATAAAGGGAGATTTATTTTGTATCTAAGTTCCTCTGAGGTCTCCTGTTATTGGGATGGAATGCAGTTCTTATATGATTAATGAGCTCTGGAAGTTTCTGGAAGATGGATTCATTGAAACTGTCCAGTTGGTGACAGCATATATTCAAACTGATTTGTTGGCTTGTTAGTAGGAGCTTGGAAACAAGACCACACACAAATTTGATCGATAACAAATTACTGAGTTTGGATGTAAAGTGTTGCCATGCACATCACACTCTAATCCTGTGCCCTCAGACTTTCACTTGTTTTGCTCTCTTCAAGATTTCTTTCATGATATAATATTCAATTCAGATGATGGTATAAATCAGCACCTTGTTCAGTTTTTCACTGATAAAGTTAGGTCTTTTGTGAATGAGGAATTACGAAGCTAATCAAAAGAAAACAGAATGGGGTATGTAGCACAGTTTCATTGGTTTTACTTCCTTGTATAAAGTAAAGAAAGTATTGTAATCATGAACCATTTGGGTATCATATTTCAAAGAAAATTTCCATTTCAACTGTTCTCAACACTGCAAAATACTTTATTGCCCAATATCTAGACGGTATTTTTACTGAATATATTTTACCATTTCCTCTAAAACAACCACACCATATTTTCAAGCATTTTAAAATTCTATTATTTCTGGAAATCATTTCATATCATCATGACTTTTTTATTAGACATAAAATGATCAAATTGAATATACACTCATTGCCATAAAAATTTACATACCAAGAAAGAGTTGTCAGATGGAAATAAAATTTTACATATGTAAATACTACACTGATATAAGAATTAGATGATTAGAAGATATGATTGGATGATATAAGATATAATGATTAGAAAATCAAAGAAAAAGGATCATTTATTGCATAAAAAGTACACATCAGCGGAAGTTTTAGTACTCAGTTGGATCACCTCTAGTCCGAATGCCCGATGTGATACGAGCGGGCATTGAGGTATATAAGTTCCATATGGGGTCCTGAGACAGCTCGTTCCACAGTTGCTGTAAACGTGCCTCTATCTGAAGTGTTTTCCTGGTCTTCTGTCGGCAAGATTTCAGATGAAGCCTGTCATAGTCTTTTAAACACTTCTTGCCAAAGTGCAGCTCCAATGCATAGGATAGACTTTTGAAATCTGATTTTCAGACAGAGTTTGAAAGAGATCCATCGTGTCTCCTTTTGGAGAAGCAATGAGGTGGCAGGCTTTAGTTTATGAATCCCATCCAATTGCATCCGCCAATATAGAAAACTTAATCTTGTACATTTGCCAGGAGGTCTTTCCATCATAAATGAATAGCTTTAAAATGAGTCAACAAGCCATAAGTAGAAATTGAAAACCATCAGGTGGTTGTTCTTCAAGCTATCAACCTCTTGGTGAAAGCAGAAACTCTGCCATCAATTTGTTGTTTGACAGCAAAATCTCTCTCATAAATTTGTTGTTCGGTATCAGTAACGCTTTCTCTGATTGGTTCTGAGGCAGTAGAAACTCTTTCTTCAGTTTCTCCAATGTTATTTTCAACCGTGTCTATTCTGCTTTAATTTCTTCTCTATTATGGAGGAAATTTTCTTTTTCATTTTAACCTCACCAGTTTCAATCTTTTCTTGAACTAATTTGATTGTCCATTCCATCTTTTTTTAGTAGATTCTTCATCTGCACATAGAAACAATGATAGCTTGATAAAATTTATTTTTTTAAAAGAAACAGTTTTACAATTTTGAAAATTCCACAAAAGTACTCTTATAGCTCTTCTCAGTATGAAAGAGCACAATCAGTAGTTACCACTATAAACTACTAAGAATGTTAAACAGAATGAAATACAAAGCACATGTAAAGAGCAAAGCTCATATGGAGATTGAATTCTGAACTAAAAACTGAGAACCAATGCTCTCTTCTGGCTCAGAAAGTTTTTCCCCTGGCTGCTGAGTAATCTCTAGTACCTTCCATTTCTCAAAATTAATGGAAGGCACATATGATAAAGTTGCACATAAGGACCAGATATGGTTACAGTTACATATAGGGATAAATTACAGTTATACAGGGATCAGACCCAAATGTCTCCAAGTTTGATTTTTGGAAAAAAAAAAATTAGTTGCCAAAACCAGCGCCAACTCGGAGATATCTCGCCATATTAGTGAGATAGATGTTTACCTTAATGCCTCTGTAATCTTATTTTTCCAGCAAAGCTTTGCTTTCTTTTTAAGTTACATTACACAATAGAACAGAATTTTATGATTAATTTCACAAAATTATTTACATCAATATAAGATTTGCAACAATACTTATCAAAAATTAAATTTATTGGTACTTTCTAAGGTTATTTATGATAACTGAATAAACTGCATAAACATGTATAAACTCATAAATATGGTATCTATAGTTGCTTTAAAAGATAGTTTGCTTTTGTTCATTATTATAAAGGTTATTTATGATGAATGAATAAACTGCATAAACATGTGACAGGTAATACTGCTGCCAAACTGACCGCTGCTATGGTTCTAAATGCTGTCACTGAACTTAATACACTCTTTTTTTTTTAACATTTATGTATTACACATTTGAAACTGACTGTTGAAAAATTTGAAACTGACTGTTGAAAAATTTGAAACTGTTGAACTGATCATATTTTAAGTCAATTAAAACATGATCAATTTGATTACTGCTGTGGTTCTTAGAATATGGCATATTAAGTAATCAAATAGGTTTGGTTCATTTTGGGGAAAAAAGTCACTTAGAAAGAATGAAACACACCTTGTTACAAAGGTTTCGATACTTCCATTTTACATATTACAATGATAATTTCTAAAAAAATACTCACGCTTCATATAGTTCTTCCCAAGTCATAACAGTTTTACTTTCTTTTTTAGATACACAATCACATAAAACTGGATCAAGAATAACTTCCCTATATAAACAAAAAATTATAAATTATGATTATGAAAGACAGCATTTGATGCATAACTGTAAATATCATAAGTTTTTCTTTTTCCAAAATAATTTTAAAAATATTCTTTTAACTGTTCTGAGAAAAATACAAATAAATAATAGACATACTATAAAATTATAATTCTGTGATTTTACCTAGGACTTCTCTCATTCTGAAGAGAGTTTTCTTTCACATAATGCTTCAAAACATCTCTTACAGCTGATCCTGGCACAGAATCTCCTTTTCTAAATGTAATGAATTCATAAAAATGGTTAATTCAAAATAACAAATTTTGAATACACTATTCAAATTTACTTTTGAATATACTATTCAAAATTTACTATAATGGTAAATTTTCTAAAAAATCTGTTTATTATAGTAGTAAATTTAGTAACCAATATCATAGGATTATCTGGAGAAAGTTTGGCAGTTTCTGTACATGAAGCACAGTTTCTTCTAATTATTTTGCTACTGCTGATGAAAATAGATGTTTAAATAAAGGCTTTTCTGCAAATATTTCATAATTCTAGCATGTGCAGCACAGTTTTTGTTTTAGTGCAACAATAAGAATAGAGAACATAAAAGTTCATTTTCATCATATTATGCTCTGTGATTTTACAAGAGGGGAAAATGCTAGTCTATGGACTTATCAAATTTGTGCTGCATGTGAACAAAGCACTGTTTCTGATGACATAGTCTGAAGGTTGTTTAAGAAGTTTCAGCATAAAAATTTCAGCCTTGAAGATGATGCCCACTCTGAATGGCCATCTTCTGTAACAAGGACCTGTTAAAAAATGTTATCTCTGAAAATTCACATCATACATTTTAAGAACTATCAGACAGACCAACTACCCAAAAAAGTACAGTACATTATCATTTGAAAAGGACAACAAATATAAGCTACTATGATGTATGGGTACCATACATTTACAGAGCAGAATATGCTTGCTCAAATTTAGGAATGCAATTTTTTGCTGAAATGAAACAAAGATCTTTTTTTCTTTTTGTAAACCACTATACAATTAATGTTACAAGGAAAAGATCACGATGTAAGCCAAATGAACCTCTTTCAATAAACATCAAAAGGAAGTTCCATCCAAAAAATAATATTTTGCATAAGGTGGACTCCAAACAAAACTTATGAATTGTTGTCGCCAAATTTTTAATAAATTTGGAAAAATATCATTTCCAAATAGTAGTTTTACAAGCAGAAAAAATCAAAGTGCCCAAAACTGACCAATTGTCAAGCTGTCTTTCATAATGATAATGCTTGACTTTACATTTTTTTAAACATTAGACAAAGATGTATTGAACTGGTATGTTCTGTGTCATCCCTCTCCATATTCATCAGACTTTGACCCCATAGACACCCCTCCAGCATCAATGCAGGTTAAATCTATAAAGCTACTGGCTAGGATCTGTACTTAGGCAGATTCAACAATAGGGGCACATAAAATCAGTCTCCACAGGACTAAAACTATCATTTATTCAATGGCAGGTTCAGGCTCAGCAGGGACCATATGGCACTGACTTCTCTGCTCCCTTAGTTGTGGGGATGTTATACAGTTAGATTTTGAAGGTTGTCCTTGGGGGTTTGATTTCCCTTGGTCAACACTTGGGGATGAACTATGGTTTACTATATTGTTCTTTTTATTGGGAGATGCAATGCCGTCCACCTCTGATTTGTGTTTAAATTTCCAGACTGTGTGTATCATATAAGTTCCCCTGGGTTCACCAAGTGTTATGCCTCCTTGGATCACATCTAGAGGGTGGGGTAATTAAACATGTATGGCAAAGGTTTGGGTACCCCTTCTCCCTAGTGTACTGTACTACTACTATCCCATGGATTTTCATCCTTTCAGGTCACTTCAAAATTCCTCTGAATGACCTGGAGTTCACTTTTTGTTGACTGTAAAGGAGTTACTCAATAATTTTAGAATAAACCTTATGACGTTTTAAAAAGAAATTCTCCATTTGCCAAATCTGCCAGACAATGCAATATGCAAAAAGTCATAGAAGAAAATGATGTGGTGATTGAATGAAATTCTCTTATGTTTTTGTGCAGCTTCCTTTGTATTTGACGTTAAAAGAAATTTAGAACTTTCCAGATGAAGCAATAAGCAGTAGTAAACTACTGCAGAAAATAACATTTGAAGCTAGCATAAGAGAAAAACATTCATTAACATTATGCAAATATTCCTTAAATTTTACAACATATAGTTATTAAAATACATTCGAGTGCAAAACTTTAAAAAAAAATTGAACATTATGTTAAATTTATGAAAAAATAATGCAGAGATTTTAATAAAATTTGGTACAAATATATTTTTATAACAGAGAAAGAAATGTATCATTCAAAAATCATTTTACGTATTTATGATTATCAGTAAAACTCATAGTGCAGGAATGTTGAAAAATTCATATTTTGATTTTGAACTAAAAATTAATCTAATATGGGATATGGATTACAGCCTGGCATCCAGAAAGGTCACACAGTGTGTCAGCATGCTAGGCATGAAGCAGTTGAAGACATCCTGTGGCAGACATAGGGATCTAAGGTCTCCTCTCTGTATCTCATAGCAGTCAGGGGACCTTATTCAAACACATGTAGGAGTGCCAACATAATGCCTGCATAAAACTATTACACCTCCACCACCGTAATGATCCTTTTCTCTGATGAGAAAGAGATGATTTATGTTCCATGCTCTCTCCAGATACAAACACACCAAGAATCAGTATTCAGGTTGATCTCAACTCATCTGCAAAAAACACAGTGCTCCACTGAAATCTGGTCCAAGATGCATGTTGTCTCCACCATCCTAAACACTCTCTCTTATGTGCTGCAGTGAGCGGGACACAAACAACAGGTCTTCTGCCATACAAACCTACCTCTTGAAGCCTTCAGGTAACTGCAGACCATGAAACTCAGGTTCTAGTGGCAGCATACAGCTTGGGTAAGAGCTCTGAAGCTGTAGCAGTTCTGTGTCATTGCCCTGGAAGTCCTAAATCTTATATCTGACTTCACATTCAGACAATTGGTAGGAAATAATTCACTTCTATTCCTAATATATGGCAAAAGCAGCATTAGAATCAAATATGCCTTTGATCATAAAAATAATATTTTTACTCTATGTTCTATTCTATTTATTAACTATGTTCTATAGTTAATAAAGAGAGTGGCTCTGAAAAGTGGTCGTACACTTACGAGTTTCAATGAAATATTGCTTTATTCATTTATAAAAATTAATATTTGCAATGAGAGTTTTTTAACAATATAATTTTCAATAATATAATAAATTTCTCTTAGCAAAAACAAATTAGTGGTTGATCTTTACATTACGGTAACTTGGCGATTTTTTGGCGAAAATTTGGCGACCAACTCCCCTACAGCAACCCTCTATTTTTTTTTCCCCGCCGCCATTTTGTCTTCACGAAGTAAAGACATGTTTCTTTTCTTCTTATCTACAACAATCTACTAGCTGAATTACACTTATGCTAGAAATTTTATCAAACAAAACTGCTTAATCATGACAAATATTCACTGCAAAATTCGGAAAAAGTGCACAATACCATACACCTTACGCGTTTTTTCAAAATAACACATACACATAAACCATGTACAACGCCGACTTATTTTTACTTAAAAAAACATCCCAGAATTGCACAAAAATGGCATTGCGCACACTCTTTCACTATATCCATGTACACTGCTTTTTTCTCATAAATTCGAAAAATTTCACGAAAATACATGACAATTTTTCTCAATCTTTAAACCCGGTAAAAAGAACATATATGAAATTACCTGATCGCGAAAAAGTATTTACCCTTTACAAATATGAACATTTCCACATATAAAATAAATAAAATATCCAAAAACTTTTACCTCTAAATCATCTATTACATTATACACGTCACCAACGAATTCATACATGAAGCATTACAAATATTTAGTATCAAATATTTAAATTATTTCCATGCACGTTTATTTCAACTTAAACGTAAACCAAATTCCTACAAGCATAAAATTCACAAAATAACTATCATTTCAAAATATCACTGAACCATGTACACGTCGACTTATTTTTACTTAAAAAAACATCCCAGAATTGCACAAAAATGGCATTGCGCACACTCTTCACTATATCCATGTACACTGCTTTTATCTCATAAATTAAAAAAATTTCACGAAAATACATGACAATTTTTCTCAATCTTTAAAAACCCGGTAAAAAAAAAAGAACATATATGAAATTACATGATCGCGAAAAAGTATTTACCCTTTACAAATATGAACATTTCCACATATAAAATAATAAAATATCCAAAAACTTTTACCTCTAAATCATCTATTACATTATACACGTCACCAACGAATTCATGCATGAAGCATTACAAATATTTATTATCAAATATTTAAATTATTTCCATGCACATTTATTTCAACTTAAACATACACCAAATTCCTACAAGTATAAAATTCACAAATAACTATCATTTCATTAAAATATAATTAAATTCAAAAACACCACTTAAAATATACATGAGCACATACATTCAATTAATAAAAATTACCTTACAATCCTAATTACTTTAAACTAAATCATTGCTAATAACAATTTTCCCAATAATACCAAATTCCTTTCCACCTTACATTTCCAACAATGCATAAAAATAATTAAAAATACTAACTTACCTAATCTCCTTCAGAATCTTCATGGCGGATACACTTTTCTTCATTCTCTTTCAGAATCTTTAAAATCATACTTATCTTTCAAAGCAAGATACCAGGTAAAATAAATAACATAATAAAACATGTTTATTTCTCTCTCACACAACCTTAAAAAACATTTCTTACTATCCTTTTCAATACCACTAAATACCCATTTCGAATTCACTTTACTTACGGCCATGGGATCCAAAAATTCACAAACACTGTTTCACACAACACAGAATAAAGCCAAATACAAAATTTCCAGATTCTTTCCCGATTTCCCCCCTTTTCCGATTAAAGAACCGTAATTCATCCATTAATATCACATGACATATCCCATGATCTCTCATTTCCCCCACACAAAATAATGCGTAATCGGAACTCAGTACTGCTCACATTATTACCAAAGTCCCAGGTAGTAACCTTTATCGCCTCCAAAATGTCGCCAAACTACCAGTTACCATAATGTAAAGATCAACCAAATTAGTCATTTCATGAACATAGTATGAGTTTTTTTTTTTTAAATCATTAAAAAACAAATCAAAAAGTCACAGAAAAGTTACCACACAAAAGTCTTTGTATGCTTTAAAGAAATTTGAACATATTAGTGAATATTGCACTATTTTTTAATTAGTATTTTGTAGGATATCTTGCAGTATTTATGACAGCTTTCAAACATCTAGGCATAGGGTTCACCACTTTGTTTTTAATATCGGCATCAATGTTTCTCCATTCTTCCATCGTTCCTGTTTTTCATCTGGTTTTATTTTTACATTGTGTCTTCATATTTTAACCTCTAATTATTTCCAGATGTGTTCTATTGGGTTTTAATCTAGTGACAGAGATGGTGTTTTCAGGACTTGTAGACAATCGTAGACACACCACAAGGGAACATTGAGGGCCATGTGCTTAGGATCATTATCTTGATAAAAAATAAAGTGGTTTCCAGTATCCAAATGTTAAAATATTTAAATAAAGAGCATGGTTCCTTATGACATCAATAAATACTAAATTACCTAAGCCTGATGCTGACATGCACCCCCACACAAAGACACTTCCACTACCATGCTGTACTGTACCAACCAAGTTCTTGGGATTAAGTTCCTCATTTCTTTTTCTCCATACATTTGTATACCCATCAGAACCAAAAATGTTAACTTTGCTTTTATCTGCAAATAAGACCTGGTTCCAATATGCTTTGAGCTTATTTACCATTGTTTTTTTGAAAGAAAGAATAAGCTTTCTATTTTTTGCACTTACAGAAAATGTTCTTTCAGCAGAGTGCCCATGTAATCTAGCTGATCTGAATACTCATTAAACAGTTTCAAGTGAAACCGAAGTAGAAATTTTTCAGTAAATTCTGTAGAAATCTCTAAAGCACTCAAACATGATTTTTCACAAATTTTGTAACTATAAATCTCTGATCACATTGAATTAACTTTGCCAGACAACCTCTTCTTACCTTATTTTCAATCTGATTTTCTTTTCTAAAGCATTTTATCACATACTGCACCACAGAATGAGATAAATTTAATAATTTAGTGACATTCCTGATCGATTTTCCACCTTATGATGAAAAATTATAAATTTTTAAATGATATCTGTTGTTTCCTTATGACTACAACTCTTTTTAAAAACATTTATTAAAATATAGTGATGTAACCAAGCAAAGAATAAAGCAAGCAAATTTTAAAATGTCATCAAAATGCAAAAATAAAAAAAAATATGGCAGACAATAATTTTATTTATGAAAATGCTTTGGTGTAAGATTACTTTTGCAGCATGTAAATTTTTCAATTTTTGAAAAAGAAAATAAGTGAGTATTAAAAAGAAGTTTAGTTTTATTCAAAATCACATAAAGATGATATGAACAAATACTGGGCTTTACATTTGAATTCAGTTCTGGATCAGTGCTTTTTCTGCAAATCTTGAAGTGTACGAATACTTACGAAAGGTATTTAGAAAAGAATATGGTGCACTACCTCATTAATACTTTTCTACAGGTTTTCAGTGGAGATATGGATAATCAGAAAGTACTCGTTAGAGATTTTAAACCAGGGTTTCAATTTTATAGAATAGAGAAAAGAACCTATATAATTCTTATTGATTTTATTACATACTTTAATTAAGTTACAGATAAATATAAAAAAAAAATGAATTAAACAAGTGTAAAACTGTGCTTATGATAATCAAAAGACCTTCATATTCAAATGACATCTTAAGCTTTAAATGTGTTGTTAAGAGGATATATGTGCAAGTTAGCATTAATTTATAAATCAAGGCTTTAATAAATAATTTTTGTTACCAGTGAGGTGCAAGATAGTTACACAATGTCTAATTTTTCAAGGAAGACCCTACAAGCATGTTCTATATATATAAAAAATAATACATACCTCATACCAGAAAACTCAAAAATTAGTTTCACCTGAGCAGATATTACAAATAATTCAGTTACAACTGGAAACTTATAATTTTCCTGAATGTTTGCTGTTGATTCTGGATCAGCTGATTTTTCTGCCTTCTGTGCTTGCAGATGTGATTTAAACAATGGATCGATGAAGAATGTTTTTATAGTATCACAATCAGTGTTTACCGAAACAATACTTTCTACACCTTTTGTGAGTTCTTTGATTTGTAAAATTCCATCCTTTTGCATTTTCTTTAAGAAAACAGATAGTTTTTTATAAGTGGTCTTTTTTATATCAAGATTTAATTCAGAAGGGCAGGCTTTTAGAACATAAGAACTATAAAATGTGCTAGTCAGAATAGGCAAATTTATTTTTCTTCCATGCACTTTAATAGCAGCCATAAATGACTGGCACAAAATATCATCCATAGTATAGCTTGCAACATCTACTTTAACCTCTTCATTAAGAACAGTAGAATCTGCCTTATTAATGTTAGTATCATCAGAACTATAATTTTCTTTTGTAGAACCAGTTTCATTTACAATGAGACTCTCAGAGTTATTTCCATTTTCAGCATCAAATTCATTATCCATCAACAAAACCGGTGGTATTTCATCAGATAAATTTATATCATGAAGTCTTTCATTCATTTCTTCTTGAATAGTTGGAAGATCTGTTTTATCTCCTGACTGCCATAAAAAGTCTTTATAATTATGCACAATAGTAACAGCTTTACCTTTTATACCATCCTCACATAACTGTTCTTGAGACATTAATGCTACCCCAACAGCTATAGGAGAAAGATTTCCCACTATTCTGACAGCACACATTTCATTAATTTTCAAATTTCTCATTTCAGATAATGTAGATTCATTAATAACAATGCCTGGAGCCATCAAATCTGCACCGTTACATATCTTTTCTAGAACTGCAGGCACAGTTGTAATTGTAGGTAATAATTTGGGATACTTCCATAAAGTATAAACAGTAGGATAGCACACTTCACCTACTTGGAAAAATAATGGATGTGATCCTGTATAATATATTACGAGAACTGAACCATTGTGAGTCATTGCTTTCACTTGATTCATTTCACTCTTGTTCGGAATCATGTTATTAATATCATCAGGTGAAAGGTTAGGAAAACTGTTTTCTACCATACTTCGCAATTTTCTTCTGTAATGAAAAATAGCAATTTTTGAGAATCAGACATTTTTAATAGCTTAAATTAATTCTAAATGCAAAATAAATGACATTTTTAAAAATAAAATGCTGTTTCAATTACAAGAAACCGCCAAAAATTTAAAAATCTAAATTCAGGTTATAATCCAAGGTTTTCTTTCAAGCAATTTAAAACTGAGATAGTATATTAAAATGAATTTTACCTATCTGAGCCCTTTATTGTAGTGCTTGTCTTAACTTTATACTGCTTGCGGAACATACTTGATATCAAAACAGATCACTTTCTTTCCATATAAACAGAAAGGTTGGTTAGTGCACCATAGTGTTATGTCTTTCTGTCCCAGGCTTTAATTCATAATAATGGTTATAGTTATAAGACACGCTACGCATTAAAAAAAATACATCGAATATTTTTTTTAACTGTAAGGAAAAAAGGTTACTGTATAATATTTTTAATCTGAAATTTTAACATTATAGTTTTTATTAATTTTTGTTTAATATTTGCATTTTTACAATACTCGGTATTTCGATTACTAATAAATGATTCATTTTTGATTTTATGAAGCAATGATATTCCTGAAGCTTAAAATTCATGAATTTAAAGATATGATAAAATCTGAAATTTTAAGAGTGTGATATAGCAAATTAATTCAAAGAGCAGAATTGTTAAGAAACTGTATCGTTTTGCCTCAAACTGCCAATTAATGGACTTGCCCGAGGATAACCTTTGCTCGCGCCATGACAGTTTTAAAGATCGTTGATTTGTTTTTGGTGTGATGCGGTGGATAGTGGGTTAACTTCATACAGTACTTTGAAATTGTAAAGATTATGAACAAGTTGCAATAAATACAGCAATGGACATTTGTATATTTTAGCGCACGATGTAGCACTACGCGTGTGAATAATGAATTTTTCATGTATTATTTTTAGAAAAGAGATGACGCTAGCCGATGATCTGAAGTTGCCCTAGCAACGCCGAGAGTCGGTGTTTGTAAGTTTCATTTAAATGTTCGTCATGTAACTAAATGTAATTGAATTTTAAAAAAATCCGCCATACTTTGATGTCATATTTCTAGTTCTGTAGTACAATGTATCCTTGATGAATTGTTCATCTGAGGTTATCGATTTTATCTTTTCTTATTTCGACGTTCCTGCTCCCATTTGGAGAAACAAAGGATATGATTGGAAACGCAAAATTTCTTTTTCAGTTTAGAATAATAATGTTCATAATGTTTAAATATTGGACTTCATAAATCAGTGTTAAAGTTTTACATTTGTCATTGTTTATAATATTTTGTAAATATCGGAGGTTTTGTGTGTTCTGGTATTTCTTTTTAAATTCTTTTATAACGTAAAATGTGAGCTATTTTCTTTATTTTAGACTGCAATTGCTTGAAAGTTGTTTGAAGCGTGGGAGTTGAATTTGATATAAATATTTCTCAAGTTAGCTTTCGACCGATTATCTTTCGAGCTCACGAATTACTACTGTACTACTTTTCTCTCTCCTCCAATAATAAACTTTGGTTAGGATTTATGATCTTAGTATTATTATAATATATATAAGGAGCATTATATATAAAAAAATTAACTAAAACATAGACTACTGCCAAAGTAAACTAGTGTGGCAGTGCAGTCCTGTCCTTTTTAGATATCGTAAAATTATATTAGGAGAAATGATTAGATTATAATATATGCGAAAGATCTGGAAGAATTTATTTGATTTATATTGAATATTAATTTTTTCTTACCTTTTCATATTTTACTTTTTAGTTTTTAAATTCGCCATGTTATGTCACACAAACAAATGTTGAATTATATGTATGTATGTGAAATGTTTCTTAAAATCCTAAAAAGTAAGCTTAGTAAACTGTTGCAATTAAGGAAAAACACTTTTGTCCTGCAGTTATTCTTATATTTTCCCAAGTACTCATGGTTGTCGAGACTGGATTCACGAATGTATGCATGTACATATATATGTGTATGTCACACACACATCCATGCATACATACATTTCTGAATCTGGTCCTGATAAAAAAAAGAGTACCATTTTGCCATTTGAACATAAAGGTGTCCAGTTTGTTTATGTTTACCCTACTGAAAGTATAAAAAAAATTCTCTAAGTTCTTAAGATTTAAGCATTTGTGAATATCACAGAATTAAAGAGTTTTGTACTTATTTCAGATTCTCTTTTACAGGTGACTTAAAATGGGAAGCCGATAATAGTGTGCTTAATTGCTATGTCTCTATGGACAGGAGATATCCATGTTGGCACTGGTATAAATTTGCCACGCAAGCCAAACATGGAAACAGAATCAGTAAGATCCTGTTATAGTGAGCAGTCATCACGTTCACGTCGTAGCAAAGCTCATAGCACCCATGGTGGGACCAATCATCACAGTTACCGCAGTCGCCCCTCTAAGCACTTACATCGAACTCCTAAAGGAGATCGCAGTCACAATTCTGCCCTAGGAAGCAAATGTAGTAACGGACATGAAAATCGTCCTGATGAATTCATTGAAGTTCAGATCTTGTCCCAAGATGACAACTGGGGTGATAATACAACAGCTATCACAGGAAACACTAGTGACCATTCTGGGTCCTTGGATGATTTATCAAAACTAAATGGTGATTATGAAACTAGTGTAGGTTTTTATTGCCATATGTGGATTGGAACTGTTTTCACTACATTGCTGTCATTTTGTGCCTTTGCCTCTCCTATCATCATGGTGATACTGCCCAAGATTGAAGCATTAGACTGGAAAGTGCAAAAATGTGGACCAGAGTGTGATGGTCTGTTAATAAGTTTGTCATTTAAACTTTTAATTCTTTTGTTTGGATCTTGGGCCTTATTTTTTCGAAGGCCCAAAGTTACTCTTCCTAGAATATTTATTTATCGTGCAATTGTTTTAGCCTTGATGATTGTTTTTACATTTGCTTATTGGCTTTTTTATGGTGTGCGTATTGTGGAAAAGCGACATGATGATTATCACAGCATTGTATTGTTTGCCGTCTCTTTAGTTGACACATTACTATTTATTCATTATTTGGCTGTCATCCTTATTGAATTAAGGCAACTGAATGCGCAGTATTTTGTAAAAGTTGTTCGTTCACCAGATGGTGAAAGTCACTGCTACAATATTGGGCAGCTAAGCATTCAAAGAGCTGCTGCTTTGATTTTAGAATATTACTATAGAGATTTCACCATTTATAATCCATACCTGGAAACAATACCTACTAAATCACGAAAATCAGCTCCTGGATTTAAAATGTATGATGTAGACAATGTGCCTAATAGTCCTATGAATTGCACCAATCGCAGTGTTATGGGAAGTGACATCCACCGACGAGACTCTAGTCACAACGAAAGATTTTATGAAGAACATGAATATGAGAGAAGGGTAAAGAAGCGTAAAGCAAGGCTTGTGTCAGCTGCAGAAGAATCTTTTACGCATATAAAAAGATTGCAAGATGAACAAGGTAATTCTTTAATTTTATGTCTGTAAAATTATGAGTACATTTGTATTGCAGACCTGCGAACTCTACCCCTAAAAGCAGGTTGTTTTCAGTTTTTCATCATGTCTGCCAGTCTTCTAGTAAATCTTCTGTTTTTTTTTTTTTTTTTTTTTTTTTCAGTTTATCTAGAAATAGACTATTTTTTTCATATACAGTACTGTGAAAGCTCGATCATCTATAAAGCACAAATGTTGAAGTCTGTTTAAAAGCAATTATTATATTTGTTACCAGCTTTAATGTCAAAAGCCTGCATTTAATATTTTATAAGATTTTGAGAATGAAATGCAGTCCAGTACTCTTCTTTTATTGAGACCGAATTTAGAATATCTATCTTATGTATACATGTGCATATTTATATGTATGCATACATGAATACATAGATCGATACACACTTGCATATACAGTAATCCGGACTCGCGGCGATTCCGTATTAGGGGATTTTACGGATTATAAGGTGGTAAGATGACATGCAGAAATTATACAATGAAAAATATGAAACCATAATTTATGAAATAAAGAGCAATTATGATCTAAAGGGTATCAAAATTTACAAAACAAAACAAAAAAAAGCTTAATATTGATATGTTTTCTTTAATAACATTTCTTTCAATGTAAGTTGTTTAAGTTGCTTCATTTTTTGTGCTAATACTTTCTCCTTAATTCTATAAACAGACATAATTTCTTGTTCAGTTACAAAGTTCCACTGTTCAAGTCCTGTAATTGCTGTGTCAACAATACCGACTAACTTGTCAATTGAAATTTTTTCATTTTCATCAATCCGATTTGGGCATTTTATGCCAAAATATTGTGCGGCAGCGCAGTGTCTGGCTCAATAACAGGAATTTAGCCTATATGGCGCATAACGTGAATGCTACGTGACCGTGGTATCCCAAAGGAAAACCAAGGGGGTAAAAAGGTGAGTGGCCAACAGTAACAAGGCCAGTGTGGCAAATAGAGAAGCAAAATAGTGCGAGGTGCGAATCTAATACTTCATGAAGAATAACATGTGAAAGTAGAGAGAATACACAATATGGTCAAAAGTCGTTAATTCGGACACCCATAATCTGGAATGATCTATAATCCGTTGACGCATGCACGCAAGACCTTTACGGCTGCGAATATGCGTGTGCGCATACTCAAAATACGTTTACACATGCGCGTTTAATGTATAACGGACAGTATAAGCTAAGCTAAAATTATCTAATTCAGTTAATGTTGCAGATTGCGTTGTTCCTTAATCTTCGAATTGGATCCGGCTTATTATTTTTTGCAGACTGTAGAGCAATTTTATAGAAGTAAGCTTGAACTTTTGATTATGTCAAATAGAATTTCCGATATATATTTACTAATATGTAAAGGATCTACAAAGCAAAAGTATGTTTCGAAGTCCATTAAACAAAAAGTGGAATTGGTGCAAAAAATGCATAAAGGCATATCCTTTGTTTATCTAACCATTCCAAAATCTGTTTATCAATTTCACGCTGCTCTGCGGGGGAGGGGAGGGGAAACACTGCCGCGCAATGAATTGGAAGTTGATCTGTCAGCACTATCCTTATCTTCAGGGCAGATGTTTTTATTTTATTTGGCTTATAATTCCTTACTAAATGTTGTATTTCATCTCGATGTACTCCGTCTTTGATATGATTTAAATCAAGTTCCTCGTCATTATAATTCGCTTCCGATAGTGAAGAAAGTGAAAGTGAAACAGAGGTTATTGAAAATGAAAAAATTTCGATTGACAAATTAGTCGGTATTCTCGACACAGCAATTATAGGACTTGAACAGCAGAACTTTGTAACTGAAGAAATTGTGTCTGTTTATAGAATTAAAGAGAAAGTATTATCACATAGAAAATCAAGCAACTTAAACAACTTACATTAAAAGAAATGTTTAATAAAATAAACAAATAAATATTAAGCTTTTTTTTTTTTTTTTTGTAAATTTTGATATCCTTTAGATCATAATTGTTCTTTATTTCATAAATTACGGTTTCATATTTTGGTTGATCTTTACATTATGGTAACTTGGCGTTTTTTTGGCGAAAATTTGGCGACCAACTCTCCTACAGCAACCCTCTATTTTTTTTTTCCCGCCGCCATTTTTTTTGTCTTCACGAAGTAAAGACATGTTTCTTTCTTTTTTTTATCTACTGAACACTTCTTCCAACAATCTACTAGCCGAATTTTACACTTATGCTAGAAATTTTATCTAACAAAACTGCTTAATCATGACAAATATTCACTGCAAAATGGGAAAAGGAAAAAAGGCACAATACCATTCTCCTTACGCGTTTTTCAAAATAACACATACACATAAAACCATGTACACGCTGACTTATTTTTACTTAAAAAAAAAATCCCAGAATTGCACAAAAAAATGGCATTGCGCACACTCTGCACTATATCCATGTACACTGCTTTTTTCTCATAAATTAGAAAAATTTCACGAAAATACATGACAATTTTCTCAATCTTTAAACCCGGTAAAAAGAACATATATGAAATTACTTGATCGCAAAAAAGTATTTACCCTTTCCAAATATGAACATTTCCACATATAAAATAAATAAAATATCCAAAAACTTTTACCTCTAAGTCATCTATTACATTATACACGTCACCAACGAATTCATACCGCAAGCATAACAAATACTTAGTATCAAATATTTAAATTATTTCCATGCACGTTTATTTCAACTTAAACGTATACCAAATACCTACAAACATAAAATTCACAAAATAACTATTATTTAATTAAAAATTCACAAAACTATGTACACGTCGACTTATTTTTACTTAAAAAGTCATCCCAGAATTGCACAAAAATGGCATTGCGCACACTCTTCACTATATCCAATGTACACTGCTTTTTCTCATAAATTAGAAAAAAATTCACGAAAATACATGACAATTTTCTCAATCTTTAAACCCGGTAAAAAAGAAAGAACTATATGAAACTACCTGATCGCGAAAAAGTATTTACCCTTTCCAAATATGAACATTTCCACATATAAAATAAATAAAATATCCAAAATCTTTTATTTCTAAATCATCTATTATACAGTGAAAAGTCGTTAATTTGGACACCCATAATCCGGAATGATCTATAATCCGGACCTCAAAGCTACAAACTTTCTGTGCATGCGTCGAGTTCACGCATGCGCACAGGCGTTTACGAGAGCGCGTTAGACCCTTACGGCTGCGAATATGTTTGTGCGCATGCGCGTTTAAATTGTAACGGAGTTATGCGCTAAGCTAAAGTTATCTAATTCAGTTAATGTTGCCAATTGTGTTGTACCTTACTCTTCGAATTGGATCTGGCTTATTATTTTTTGCAGACTGTTAGAGCAATTTTATAAAAGTAAGCTTGAACTTTCGATTATGTCAAATAGAATTTCCGATATATATTTACTACAAAGCGAAAGTATGTTTTGAAATCCGAAATCTGTTTATCAATTTCACGCTGCTCTGCGGCAGAGGGGGGGGGGCAGAAACGTCATTATTAGATTATGATAGATTAGAAAGATTATGTCAAATAGAATTTCCGATATATATTTACTAATATGTAATTTTATCTATCTACAAAGCGAAAGTATGTTTTGAAGATCCGAAATCTGTTTATCAATTTCACGCAGCGGATTGGAAGTTGATTTGTCAGCACTATCCTTATCTTCAGGGCAGATGTTTTTATTTTATTTGGTTTTTATAATTCCTACTAAGTGTAGTATTTCATTCTGTCTTTGATATAATTTAAATCAAGTTCCTCGTCATTATAATTCGCTTCCGATAGTGAAGAAAGTGAACCCAGAGGTTATTGAAAACGAAAACATTTCGATTGACAAATTAGTCGGTATTCTCAACACAGCAATTATGGGACTTGAACAGCGGAACTTTGTAACTAAACAAGAAATTATGTCTGTTTAATAGAATTAAAGAGAAAGTAAGTATATCACATGAAACGAAGCAACTTACATTGAAGGAAATGTTTAATAAAGTAAACAAATAAATATTGAAGCTTTTTCTTTTTTGTAAATTTTGATACCCTTTAGATCATAATTGTTCTTTATTTCATAAATTACGGTTTCATATTTTTAATTTTGTAATTTTTGCATGCCATCTTCCTGATTTAAACTGATGATCTATAATCCGGAATCGCCAAAGTCCCGACGAGTCCGGATTAACGACTTTTGACTGTATTATAAACGTCACCAACAAATTCATACCGCAACCATTACAAATACTTAGTGTCAGATATTTAAATTATTTCCATGCACGTTTACTTCAACTAAAACGTATGCCAAATTCCTAGAAACATAAAATTCACAAAATAACTATTATTTTAATTAAAATATAATTAAATTCAAAAACACTACTTAAAAATATAAATGAGCACATACATTAAATTAATAAAAATTACCTTACAATCCTAATTACTTTAAAAACTAAATCATTGCTAATAACAATTTTCCCAATAATACCAAATTCCTTTACTTCCACCTTACATTTAGAACAATGCATAAAAATAATATCCTCAAATAATTAAAAATACTAACTTACCTAATCTTCTTCAGAATCTTGATTACTTTGATTACCGATAAACTTTTCTTCTTTCTGTTTCAGGATCTTTAAAATCATACTTATATTTCACAGCAAGGTACCAGGTAAAATAAATAACTTAATAAAACATGTTTATTTCTATCTCGCACAACCTTAAAGAAACATTTGTTACTACCCTTTTCAATACCACTGAATACCCATTTCGAATTCACTTTAGTTACGGCCATGGGATCCAAAAATTCACGAACACTGTTTCACACAACACAGAATAAAGCCAAATACAAAATTTCCAGATTTTTTCCCGATTTCCCCCCTTTTTCCGATTAAAGAAAGAACCGTAATTCGTCCATTAATATCACATGACATATCCCATGATCTCTCATTTCCCTCACACAAAATAATGCATAA